ACCCCATCCTTACTGCCATCAATCACTGGGCTTTGTCCCTTATATATAAACAGCACAGCACTCCTCCCCTCCACCATCCCTATCTCTCTCAATCACAGTCACCCCATCCTTACTGCCATCAATCACTGGGCTTTGTCCCTTATATATAAACAGCACAGCACTCCTCCCCTCCACCATCCCTATCTCTCTCAATCACAGTCACCCCATCCTTACTGCCATCAATCACTGGGCTTTGTCCCTTATATATAAACAGCACAGCACTCCTCCCCTCCACCATCCCTATCTCTCTCAATCACAGTCACCCCATCCTTACTGCCATCAATCACTGGGCTTTGTCCCTTATATATAAACAGCACAGCACTCCTCCCCTCCACCATCCCTATCTCTCTCAATCACAGTCACCCCATCCTTACTGCCATCAATCACTGGGCTTTGTCCCTTATATATAAACAGCACAGCACTCCTCCCCTCCACCATCCCTATCTCTCTCAATCACAGTCACCCCATCCTTACTGCCATCAATCACTGGGCTTTGTCCCTTATATATAAACAGCACAGCACTCCTCCCCTCCACCATCCCTATCTCTCTCAATCACAGTCACCCCATCCTTACTGCCATCAATCACTGGGCTTTGTCCCTTATATATAAACAGCACAGCACTCCTCCCCTCCACCATCCCTATCTCTCTCAATCACAGTCACCCCATCCTTACTGCCATCAATCACTGGGCTTTGTCCCTTATATATAAACAGCACAGCACTCCTCCCCTCCACCATCCCTATCTCTCTCAATCACAGTCACCCCATCCTTACTGCCATCAATCACTGGGCTTTGTCCCTTATATATAAACAGCACAGCACTCCTCCCCTCCAACAAACCACATGCTTCACTCACCAACACCGTTTTGGGTTTATGTCTTGTTATTAAATCACCTGGCCTCATCAGTAACCGATCAGTGGCTAGATGGAAGTTAGAAGGACAACTTAATGATGAAGAGGTAGAAAGTAGAGGACAAGGAACAGAGTGAGTGATGGCGTGTGCCTATTGTTGCTGTTTCAGAGATTGTTGGGAATTTAAACACAAAATCTTGCATTCATATAAAATTTTGAGTAAGGAAAATTCTTCTCTTTGAAATTCCAATACCATAAGAACACAGTTACTCTCTAGTACAGCTACAATTTACACACTGCCAACAATAATATTCAGAGTGAAGGTATAAACATTGAGATAGAAGTAAATGTGACCATGACCACCTTCATTTTCCTCTTAATCATGGCCATGTCTTTATTCCTGCTGTGTTCCTTCTCTGGTATTCTTATGGACAGTTTGATGCCAGAGTATGGACAGGGGACTGAAGGTAGAACACACACAGACATGGAGAGCAACATGTGGTATGGAGCTACACTAGCACATTTGTGTATACAGAACAATTTGGTATTGAGCTATAGTATATTTATGTATGATCTATACAAAATGGAAATTTTCTTTCAGCATTAAGTATCACATAAGATCCAATTAAGTTATATCAACTACATATTAAAAAAGGAAAACAAAACTATTGAATATGGTAAAAGAGCTTCTAGTAGTGCTGGATACAAACGTTGGAAAAAAATATTTGGAGGATACATATCTTCATAAGAAATATTTTAATGCCAATCATATTAAGGACCGAAGTCATAACTTATTTGTATTCTAATTTCTTTCACTATATTACTTTGTTTTTATATTCAATTAAATTTAATTGTCATTTTTTAGTTTATAATATTCTTATGTGTATTTGTGTTTTTTTATTGTGTATAAATATTTTGCAGATACATAATAAAGTATTACTATAAAGTTAAACTTCTCTCAGTTTAGAGCATAATATAGCATTTGTTTAGTCTTGATATATAACACTACTTGAAATAAATAGAATACATTGTTCACATATCCCAGACTTACCAGTGGTGATGCCAAACTCCTTCCCACTAAGAATATGGTGCAACAGTGTCTTCATTTCAAAAGGACTCAGGTTAAGCAAGTGGTCAGAGGCTTCACTGCCTATAAACAAAGTCATGCTGTACAGATATTTCTTTGAAATAATGGCAGATGTCTTAATTTCTTCTGAAAAAATATATGTAGCTGCCATTTTCTGTCAGCATCAAAAAACTTTTTCGGTAAAAATCATCAAGAAATCTTTGGATAGAAAACTGCCCATCTATGAGTGATACACAAAACATATTTTAAAACCATCAAAATGAATTTCTTCAACTATCATGGAAAATGCAAGTTTTTTATATAAACAGCTTATAACAATAAACATTAAAACTTTATAAGGTCTTCTAGCATAAATTTTAAAAACTTGATTCTTGGTTACTGTACCCAGCCTCCTTACCAGAACATTTGAGATTCCGTGCTAACTCTGCTGCCATGACCTGGATAATCAAACCAACTCTCAGACGCAGCATTTCATTGAACAACTTTGGCTCCGTTCTGATGAACATGGCAAGATATACCAAGAGTTCCTGAAACATGATGAGCATAGCAAGATATACCAAGAGTTCCTGAAACATGATGACCACAGCAAGATATACCAAGAGTTCCTGAAACATGGTGAACATAGCAAGATATACCAAGAGTTCCTGAAACATGGTGAACATAGCAAGATATACCAAGAGTTCCTGAAACATGTGGCAGTCATTTCTGTATCATGGAGACAACAACAGAGGGAGCCAGTGGCACAGAGTTTTTATAAAATATGTCTTTCAGGTACCAAGTCTTTCAGGGAAATAGGGGTGCCCAAGAAATGTACAGCATGCCTTAAAAGTTACAAGTGGTCAATGTACAAATGCAATCACATTTAAGGACGCCCTCTCATATTTCAGATTTCATATTTCTGCCCTAGCGATTTTGATTAGAATTGTAAGACAAAATCTTCTTACCATATGAGTAAAAAAATATGAAAAAAAAAATTGGGGGTCTCCATGCTCGTTTTCGAGAGGTGGCGTCCCGAAAAACGCTACGTTTATTACATTGCGTTATATGGGGATTTTGCCAAAATGCCCTTAATTTTGCTGACAAATGCAAAAATAAAAAATTCTGCCCTAGCGATTTTAATTTTATGTGGATATGTTATAGACCTTGGTAGACCTCAAAGAAATTTACAAAAAAATATGTACCACACCACGCTTGTTTTTGAGCCAGGGCTGCTTGAACATCGATTTTTTATCAAATTTACAAAGGAATTAATGGAAATGTCCTAGCAAATTAAGATAAATATATTTGTATCATTAGGTTTTTAACTCATACACTTATTATGCTTCCATGAAAAATATATTTATACTTCTCTGCATCATTTAACCAAATTTCATAAAATTTGCATATCCCATTCATAATAAATAGATAATCAAATGTTGAAAGTATCAGTTGGATTTCAGTATGCCTTATGGAATGCCGCCATATTGGATTTTTCATAGGCTAGGCAGATTGACTAAAAGCATATTATATCAATCTCATGTGACTTATTTTCTTATTCCTTTTTATTTTTATTTCTTTTGTTTCTTTATTTTTCTTACTCAGCACTAAAATATGCACTTTATGGTGAGATAGCTGGATAAATTGTTTCCTTTGTATATTAACAATGTATCAATTTCTTACTATGGTAAGTTAGTCATATTTCTTCTCTATATATGGAAGATGGTGACAAAAATATTCATCTACAGACATCTTTGATTATCAGTTTATTTCTGTATCATATTATGTTTACAACATGCAATCAAATACATATCAATAGCATATAAATATGCATGTTAATTTTAAAATAAAAAAGTCATACAATTTTTTATTACTTTTATGCGTTTTGTTACTCGTGTTTTTTTTTTGTGTTTGGATTGATTTCACCGAGAAGAAAATAAAGACCATCTAGACTTTCTCCTTGAAAAGCAATTACTAATTCTGATATGTTAACCCTGACAGCTTTATTTTTTTTCCTACACATGGAAAAATTATTTTTTTACAAACAAGGTTTTCTACAGAATTTGGTAAAGGTTTCACACAGGATTTAGTCAATTGACTGGGATAAAATAAAAAATCAGAAAAAAGGATTTTCTTCACTTTCATCATTGCAAAAATTAACTAAATTTTGTAACTCAAGACTATCTTCTAATGCATTATGGGCTGAATAATTTCTGTGAAGTAATAAATTTACAAACTAAAGTCGATCTCTTGTTTATGATTGGGTAAATTAGGATAAAGTTGGAATAAAGTACACTTTATCTTCTAAAATATACTGTTTATTTTCCTAGCATCAAAAAAGTATTACATGTATCTGCATAAAAACCCTTGGTCCTCTGTTGTGTGTTTTATGGTTTTGTCCATTTGCACTTTAACAAATCCATTACAAGAATGACGTCGCAACACGCCAGGCGGGTACACACCTGTTGCATCTTAAATTTCCTGGAGAGCTGAAAATCGCGCTGTTTGCAGGTCANAGAGCAATTACTAATTCTGATATGTTAACCCTGACAGCTTTATCTTTTTTTCTACAATGGAGAAATTATTTTTTTACAAACAAGGTTTTCTACAGAATTTGGTAAAGGTTTCACACAGGATTGAGTCAGTTGACTGGGATAAAATAAAAAAATCAGAAAAAAGGGATTTTCTTCACTTTCATCATTGCAAAAATTAACTAAGTTTTGTAACCCAAGACTATCTTCTAATGCATTATGGGCGGAATAATTTATGTGAAGTAATTACATATTTACAAACTAAAGTCGATCAGCTAGATCTCTTGTTTATGATTGGGTAAATTAGGATAAAGTTGGAATAAAGTACACTTTATCTTCTAAAATATACTGTTTATTTTCCTAGCATAAAAAAGTATTACATGTATCTGCATAAAAACCCTTGGTCCTCTGTTGTGTGTTTTATGGTTTTGTCCATTTGCACTTTAACAAAACCATTACAAGAATGACGTCGCAGCACGCCAGGCGGGTGCACACCTGTTGCATCTTTCCTGGAGAGCTGAAAATCGCACTGTTTGCAGGTCATATTGTTCAATAACATACTTAAATCAACAACAAAACACCATGCGTATAATTATTTTAACTTATTGTGAAAGAAGTGAATTGTTTTCAGCATACAAATCACGGTAACTTGGCCCTGGGTGATCGGAAACCAATGCTGAAGAAGACAATGTCTTGTTGCACACATCATAACCATGTGACAGATCACCACAATACACTTTGTGATTACTTTCCGTGAGATAAGATCTTGTCACTGCTATACAAGCCTTACTAAAACGCTCTTTTCCATATCCCGTCTTCACGTAATTTCTTACATTGCGGCATTTGTAAACAAAGTCGCAAGTGGGTACTTTACGTCGTAAAAGACCAAGCGTTCACAGATACGCAACGCATTGTTGACACATTCGTAGCGCTTCGACCAAAATAACATCAAAGATTTCATACTGATTTCTTAAAAGGGTGAATTATGTATTTTATTGCATGTTATATGTTTATCATTAGCCGCTATCGCAAAAAACTACTCATGCGCGAAATCTGCGCAGATCGCAAAAAAAGCTAATATGAGAGGACGTCCTTAATTGGAAATACATTAAAATTAAATCTTGATTTACATTTCAAATGGACTTCTCTAACTGACATGCAATATGCCATGCCTATATACATTTGAATGATTATAATACTTAAATAAATATGCATATCTCAGGTATGCAAATTTACAAGATTGTATTCATGAGCAGGAATTAACACATTCACAGCGGGATCAAATCAAAATCGATCGAAGTATCATTGCTTGGCTATACGCGTTTAATATGAAACTAAGTCATACTTTTATGTCGATATATAAATGTATATATCCTGCAAAGCTACTTATCTTCCATGATTCATATCTTTAAAAAGATAAAAACGCCTCAAATAAAAGCTGTTGATTTTCTCTTCTGCAATATTGGGAAAACATGAAGGCCTAAATAAATCAAGCTTTGTTCTGAAAAAAATTGATTAGAAATGTTTAAAAAATGGAATCTAATTGCAGGGACAGGGAGAGTAATGGTTTCTATTCAAATATTGCTCTTTCATCGAAGAAAATTCGATTTGGCGCAAAAATCCAGTAGAAAACACCATTAAAGTTGGGAATTTGAAGGGAATCGATGTATACTTTTTGGTGACTGTTATATGTGACCAGCAAATTATGTTTGATACGCAATATGGATGTGGTGTTTACATTACTGTCGCTTGTACAACAGAGTCATCTGGTGACAGTGCACAAAGTAAACAAAAATACGGTTCATTATACAATAATTAAGTAACTTTGAGCAAGGAATTTCAATACATTATTGAAACTCCGTACTGTGCATGTGTAACGCTCAATCTACAAGCCCATAGCTACTACAACAGCCGACTATGACTGACAGTTAATACTGGTTTATGTTGAATGAATATATCTTCTGAATGAATGCAAGTCTTTCTCCAAGTACAGTTTACAGAACAATTGCACTTTGGTTGCTCTCCGGTTGTTTTGATTTTTCACATCTTCAAGGAATATTTAGACGCGGCACCTAAAGCATGGAGCGCTTTATGTACAAAGCGGCAGACGCTGTAATGAAATGCACATGGGCCTGTTTCTAAACCTCTCCATTCTGTAACATGACTATATCTATGATGCGCAAAAAAGCACTCAATTTAGAGCAACTGAATAAACTTACTCAATATGGCTATTTTATACAGATTATGTCTGTGATTTTGTATCATTAACTTCAACATCTTGCAGGCTTTATTTTGTCCAGAAGAGAAACTTGGGGCTGTTAGTTTGGTTTATGTAGAAAGTAAATAAGATATGGCCAGGCACACATTTAACGTTGCGTGATCAGCCTTCGTAATCAGACTGTTTTCCAAGGCTTGTTAAAGAAACGCTACCTTGAGGGAAGTAAGATTCATTAAAAATTAAGATATATTGCTCTTTGGGCTTTCCGCGATTTGATTATTATGTACGGGTAAACACAGATTATATAGTATTAATGTCGATGTTTTACACTTTTTATGTATTACTATCTAGCCCTTGCCCTTCAGCATCGATCACTGCTAGTGACTTTGGATTTAATAATAAGTAAAATAAAATATCTACGAGCTTTAACCATTGTATTGTATTGCATTTAAAATGTCTTACCCACTATGTATCTTAATTGTGCTACAGTCAAAAAAGACAATACAATGCCGTAGGCCTATCTTTTTAACCACCGCCTCAACCTAAAGCAATAAAAAAGATATATATCTAGCTAGTTTCCATGCTGCATGAACGATAATCGCTTAATCTTTTTTTTTTTTTTCATACGAGCTTGAAGCATTTGTGAATTTAAAACTTAATCCTATAAAGAAACACGCTTAAATCTCCCCTGCCTTGTTTTCTATGACACTTCTTCAATACCCTGGATGATAATCAAATTTCACCTCACACGCGTAACCTTGATCCATTTATTCATATGGATTGAACTCGAAGGCATACGGATTTTTATTGCGCAACCCATCGTATTAATGAAAACACCCACAAGGTATGAAAAAGTGGCCGATCAAAATTTGACCACCCGCCCTTCCACCTGTCTTCCACTGTTTGTACATTTATTCAAGGAAGAATGTAAAGCCTAAGAATCAAGTGTGCGTCAGGTAAAATAAATACCATTTGTCCTGAATGTTTTTTCAGGTTGTTACTGGTTGCACCTGACGTCCTCGAAAACATGATTTTGCTACGGAGCGAGGTGACTGCCACAAGGATATTGTCTTTGCCTCGCCTGGCTCTTATATAAAATCATGGAAGAAATCAATTTTACTTAAATATACAGGTTACAGAGATGGAAAAATTGATTTTGATTTTTTTTTGGGGGGGGGGGGTGG